AAAGACGGGCAGACACCGCATAAGTACACGTCTGGTCCTAATTTTATACATAAATAAGATTTAAAATTAAGGTAGGGACACGAATCTGCTGCTCCTGGTCCCCGTCATGTGGTTTCATCCCATGGCGTCTCGAAACTCGTGCACGTACCTTATTTCGAATACAAGACTCTCATAGAACTCTAAAAACACAGAGGAAAAAGAGAAAAAAAGAATTGAACCTGCATGAAAACAATGTTAACGGGAAAGCAGACAAACATGCAGCATACAATGAGCCGTGACTTTTTATCGGAGGAATTAAATGCCACCTGAAAGCAAAATGTTAGTATAAATCATCACGCGCTATCTCTTTAATGGTAGATGTGTGTGTGCAGCAGAAGAACGCCCTAATATATTATCATAAATATCAAACATGCAAGCACACCAAAAAGACATAAAAGTGACGCTTAGTTAGATCAATCAAATCAACAGAAAACAGTAGCAAGAGGCGTCGAAAATACTATATAGCATCCCAATTCTAACCTAGCACACAATCAAACAAGAAGGTGTCCTAACCATCATTTAAGTGCTCAGGTTAAGTCTCCGGGTATGTATGACTTTGACTGGGTCGCGATACCGGTCACATCCTAAAAATCAAAGAGATTTAAAGGGTGTCACCCATAATGAATTTTGAAAAGAATTGGTCTTACATATGGTCAAACTTGCTACATGCATAATTTTAAAATTATGGCAAATGTAACAAGTCGAAAATATATTTTTTTTTTTGTTTTAAAATAAGGGTCATTAAATACAAACCCGTAACATGCAAGACAACATGAGTTAGATCTCTTGAATCCTTAGCACAATTATACTCGTTTTAATTCTTATGTGATAACTCGTATTGCTCACCGGGATTCATCTGGTGAGCAATGTTCGTTATGACATCGCGACCAACATGGGGGGTCACTCACTTATCGAGCATGGCTTGCTATCCATGCAAGCATACAAATGCAAATACAAACAATCATACGATAAAACAGTGTGTCGTAGAGGCAGTAATTCAGGAGCTGGCGTGCCATGAAGACAGTGGCCTAAAGAAATAGGTGTGTCCTGGAGGCAGTGACCAACATGATGGGTGTATCATGGAGACAGTGACCCGAAAGTATGGGTGCACCGTGAAGCAACAGTTTAAAGGATGGGTGTGTCGTAGTGACCGTGACCTAAAAGGGCGGGTGTGTCGTGAATGCAGTGACTTGAAATGTTGAGTGTGCACTGGTTGCAATGACTCGAAAGAGTGGGTATGTCGTGGAGGCAGCAACTTAAAGGATGGGTGTGCCGTGGAGATACTGATCCAAAAGAGTGGGCATATCGTAAGGGCAACGAACCAAAGTAAGTGTGTCATAGAAGCAGTGACCCAAAAGGGCAGGCGTGTCGGGAAGGCAGCAACCCAACAAATTTGTGTGTCATGGAGATAGTGACTCAAAAAGTGGGAGTGTCGTAGAGGCAACAGCCCAAATGATGACCTACGACAGTCTGATGCAATGTCGTAAGAAGAGAAGGTGAAGTGATTCTCACTGGGGATAATTACACACTGGGTGGGCTTGATATGCAAACCGTCTGGTCACATAATATGTGAATGTGTGGATTAAGTGTGTGAGGCACCAATCCAAATGCACACAACTTTAAACATACAAGTCATGGGCATGCAAAATGTCATGCAAGACAATCATGCGGAAGTGCACAAGTGTAAGTGCGAACCACTTATGACGTGATGTTAAGTGACATAAGAATGCCACGAAGCAGATATATACAGTAATGTGCCGATAGGAGGCATAAAAACTCGTTGCGAGCATATGAGGGAACATGCTCAAAGGTGCAAGACAAGAGTGCAAGTGACGAATGTGCTAATGCAAGATCATGTAATCAATACTAATGCACATGTAATATACACACTATGCAAGTGGAATCGGTTGTCCGACCCGATGGGTGGACCGAGATGATCAACCCGGGGCAACGTAACCAACGGGCTCAGTCGGGCAACGTAACCAACGGGCTCAGTCGGGCTAAGGTGCCCGACTATACCAAATTAATTGGCCAACCAGGTCAAGACAACTAGTTGGACCAAATTGATCGGTAGACCGGGTCGGGGCCGCTTGTCGGACCTAGGTGGTCGATCAACCAGGTTGAGGCGGCCGAACCTAAGTGATCGATTGACCGGATTGGGGTGGTCGGTCAAGCATACGTGATCGGTTGACCAGGGTTGTCGATCGAACCTACGTGATCGGTCGATCGGGCAGGCGCAGCCGATCGAACCTACTTGTTCAGCCGATTAGGCCGTGGGGCCGGTCAGACCTTAGTGATCAGTCTACCGGGTCGAGTTGGTTTTGACCTCATTATTGGTGAGATCTTTCTTTCCTCTTAGTGCTTAGGATCTAGCTATATGATTTTTCCTTTAACTATTCTAGAAGACTAGAAATGAAACCCACCTACATAGAAATTCAAATAATTTCCTAGCTCTCTTTGGAACCCCATATGGATGGTCATAAACCTCAAACGCTTGGAAGGTTATGACCAACTTGTGAGGATTCAAGCATGAGTTCTCATAAGGTTTGCAAACCCTAGGACAACTTTGGTTGGTCCAGTCATCCACACACTCACTTGAACCTACCAATTTCGTTTGGCCCACTCAATACACCCTTTTGAATTCTTGAGCAAACTCCTAGGGATGGTCCTGAGCCTTCCCCAACTCGTGGGGATGGTTGGGAACAACCTATGGAGGTTTCAAAATGAACTCTTAGGGAGTTACGAGACTCTTCTTTCCTCTTAGTGCTTAGAAAACTTCAAATAAAATTAAATTGGACGTATTTTGACTCGATCGTCGACGAGGTTGACCGAACTGCCTCGAATGACAAAATAGACCACTTTGACGTGTCTGAAACATCAATTTTAGCTAGGAATGACATCTATTTTGATATGATTTCGTGCAGGTTTGAGTTGTGTTTGAATTGGCAAATTTTAAGTGAAATATTAAAAAAACAAGTGAAAAAAAGTAAAATACATAAACTCACGTACGCAAAACACCCGTCCGTCCCCTTCCTTCCCGTTAGCGAAACCGACCCGGCCGCAAACCCTAGCCGAGTCAAACGCACTCTCCTCTCCTCGTGAAGCTTCAGTCGGAGGTCCCTCTCCCCATGCCCTGGCTAAAAGCTTCCACCTGCACCACCTACCCTCGCCACGCTCTCTGCCGCCCCTTGTCGCCACTCGCCCCGTCCTTGTCGCGCTCGGCTCACCGCCCGGATAGGTAGAGGTAAACACTTCTCTCCCCTGGCTATAAAAACCCCACTTGGGGTAAGTTTTTTTGGTTGGCAAAAATTTTGGTGTGAGGGGCAAATGCTGCTGAAAATTTTCTAGGCTTGTTCTTGCATTCCCTTTGGGCTTGGCTTCAAGAGGTAGTCTCTTCCCTTCTCTTTTCTCCCCTATTTCATATCCCCTCTAATGCTAGTTCATATAAAAATGTTGGCTTAAAAAAATAAAAATAAAATAAAGAGAAAAGAAATGAGAGGTGGAATATTGTCGCAAGGCTTGAACCAGGCTACGATTGTGCTTGTTTGTTCTATGATAAGTCTTCAGTAAGTCATTTTTAGTTTGAACAAGAGTTAAGCTACTATTTTGTGCTATTTGTTTCATGGTAAGCTCTGCTACTGTTTATTAGCCCATCTTTCAAAGTTTGTTCTCCTTTTCAATAAAATCCATGTGAATAATATTTGTAAATTGATCCTCATGAGCTATTTGCTTATGGGGGTTCGTTCCTTTTATTTTCAGTTATCTGAGCAGCATGTTTCGGTTTGGTTGAGAATTTAAATGTGGTTTTATATTGAAGTTAGTGAAGTATGGTTTAAATAACTGATTGCACTGTCATAATCACTTGCAATATCAGTGATTTGAGCAAGCCATATTGTTTGGTGTATTTATGGAGGGCTTCGAAATTTCTCTCCATTGTTGATGGTTCATAAAGAGGCAAGTTATTATTCTCTGGTTTGATATTATCATGAGTTATATTTGCATAGTCCGCAAGTGATCGCTCTCTTTCTTTGTATTTAAAATAACTCTTTGAGACAACTTATTTTGAAGATGGCAAGGGAATGATTATTTAAAGTTGACTACGAAGATTTATGCAAAATTAGAGTTGACGCAATAAATGTTTTTCAAGAAGGTTAAATGGCACAACACAAAGAATGACTAATAACTAATAATGATGAATCAAATGAATATAATTCAGGCTTATTTTCTAAGAACGCCTTTCAAGATGATGGATGAGATAGATGACATGTAGAGGTGAGCATTTGTTCAGTTTGGATGGATCGATTTTCAAATCGGTCAAACCAATTACAACCAAAATCCAAAAAATTGAACCAATCACAGTTTTGATAAAACCAAACAGACTGAACCGAAATTTTGGTGGGCTCTAGTTTTGCTTAAATGTCTTTTTTATCTTCTCTTTTTGCTTTTTGTGATTACTGCTTCTGTTTTGCACTTTTATGGGTGGTTGAAAAATATTGTTAAGCCTAATTCAACTATTCACAGCTCCCCTCCCTAATGGCTTCTCTTGATTGTACATATAATGTCGGCTTCGCTAAATTCCCACTCTCCAGCCTCACCACTTTAGTTTTGCTTCATTGTCTCCTAGGTATTACATGTTTTTCTGGCTTGTTAACATGGCGCTACATTATGTCTATTTACAATCCTTGATGATAGCCCGCTTTTTATTCAATTAATCGAGTCTCTGCCCTCTTCATCCCAAAAATAATAAATAAAAATCAAATATCATAAACTATGTTCAGTAATTTAAAAAAATATAAGAGAATTATAGTTGAAATATCAGCCAGCCCTTCATCATGAATACCAACTCGCTTAGAGCTCTACTTTTATGTAAAATTGTTTTCTAATCATTCATCTCAATCTCAAATGGATTATAATTGCATGAAAAACAAAATGTCTACACAAAACGGAATATAAAGATTTACCTGCCATCAAAGCTTCCTCGAAATTACGGGGGGGTTCAAATCTCCGCGGAATCGCATACTTCGCAGTTTCGCCCACCAAATCACCTAATACTGTATCAAAATCCAAATAAAAAAAGAAAGAAAAAGAAGAAGAAGACGATGTAGAACAAGATGAGACTGGATTTTCCAGCAACTTCTTAGAAAGAAATCGCTAGCGGTATCGTTTTAGCGTACCTCGCTGGGTTTGGGAAAATGCTTGAGAGGCGAGGGCTAGAACAAGGGAGGACCGGGTATCAAGGGCCGGCAGAATCCCAGGAGTTCTGTCCCCTCTTTCCACCGCGGCCAATATCTTTACCGGCGATCGTCGGGTACCCGGCGCGGGTTTTGGAGGGCGAGGGATCGAGATTGGCGTCACTACCACGAGCATCATTTACTACTCTTATGTATCGTATGCTACGGGGAATTTATCGCGAGACGAGACTATAATCAAATATAGCTACAAGAACTGCGGTGTTCTGACGACTTGGCTTGGTACAGAACAATTGTATAAATTTATGCATCTAATATTTATTTATACAATATTCAAAAGTTTTAAATCGCATAATAAAATATTCCTAATATTTATTTTTTAACAAAAAGATATATATTTTCATACACGTATTTTAATATTGTTGAGAATAGGATTGTAAAGCTTCTTAATTTTATAAAGCTTGAACTCAGAACCCGATCTTAAATCAATGAATTCGAGACCGCTTGTTTATTTTGAAAAAGAGAAAAAAAATTTATTTTAAGATAATGCTATAATAAAATAATAAATATAATGGATAATTATGAGAAAAATAAAAAGAATATTTAATATTTTTTTAAAATATTTTTAATACTTTTAAAATAAAATTTTAAATATAGTATAATTTGAATATATTTTATATTAATATTTTTTTTAAAAAGAGCCGGCTTACAAGTTAACAAATCGAGTCAGTGCTAACTTGAGCTTGACTTGTAAGCTCATCGAGCTCAGTTAATGATCCGCTTATAGCTCGAGCAGATATGGGTGTGAACCCGATTTAAAGCTGATACAAGGCCGGCTCGAAATTTGATCGAAACATTTTTTAACATATCGAAATCGGATCGTAGATCGACCTAGTATATTTCAATATGATCAAGTGTGGACCGATTCAATTTTCGAACCCTTGTCACTCCGTTGAAGCAATAAAAACCTCAACAACTAAACTATCAGTACATTTCGCATGTAAAACTAAAAAATTAGGTGTATATATATGTAAATACATAAGAATTTATTTCAATCCCGATCTAATCCCGATTTAAGCCAAGGACAGATCCAAATCGTATCAAAATAAATTCAATCCTTTTAATTTGGCTCACAAGTCAGCTCAATTGGTTTGATCCAATTTTCGAGCGATTCACGATCTTCAAACCAATTTCACAGCCCTACAATCAGGTTCACGAATCAACTCGACTCACTCCCACCCCTAATTGAAATACTTAAAATATTATGCAGATAAATACAAAAACGTTAAGTATTAAGCATACAGACGCATAAAAAACTGTGTGATATATATACACATTCCTCTTATTTTTTAATTATTTTTATATTCCAAATTAAATCAAACTATTTTTTAGAACTCAAAATAATTTGTTTGAGTTATAAATGCGTTACAAATAGGGCTGTCAAAACAGCTCGTTGTTCGCAAACAGCTCGTGTTCGGCTCGTTAAGAAGCTCGTGTTTGGCTCGTTAATTTCGTTCGATAAGTTAACGAGCCGAACACGAACTAAGATGTGTTTGTTTATGTTCGGCTCGGTTTGACTCGAAAAAATACTTATTAAAATATTGATTAAGAAAATAGAATAAAAATTATCAAATTAGATTCGAATGATGTTTTAATATAAATAATAATTTTTAAGTCTTGCTCAAACCCTTATTTTCTTATGGCTACATGATTAGGGTTGTTAAAAGGACTATTTGTTCGTGAACAGCTCGTTTTCTGCTTTCTAAGCAAACGAGCAGAACACGAACAAACTCTTGAGCTCGAAATATAAACGAGCCGAACACGAGCTTAGCATGGCTCGCCAGTGTTCCTCGTGTTCGGCTTGTTTACACCCCTAATTACAAACACCTACGCTAGCCAAAGCCACCAAGAACCATCGCTAACGACCTCATCTGCCGTTGGCCGTAAACGTAAGCAGCCACCATCCACCTTCGCCAATAATCATTGCCACTATCAACAACAGCCAATATTACCACAAATGAATAAAATATCTTTTCAAAATATCAAATATTTTTTATTTATATGCAGTACGTAATCAAAATAATATTAAACAAAAAATAACTATCAAACGATTAAAGGCAGAACTAACGTCTACTTTCTTCAAGTTAGCTTTTAGCTCATGTGGATCGAACCAAGCTGAAAACCATGCACCAGCCATTGTAAGCCATTCACAGCGTCACATCATTCAACATACTAGCGCTAACAGTGCATCACATGCAGACCCTCAGCTAACAAATACAAAACTGGGCATGAGAAACATCATCACCATCATCATCAAAACTATTCCAACAAAAATATAAAGCCATGTCTTTTATGAGAGAGATTAAATCCTAACATTGGGAGATTGGATCAGGGCGCATCTTACCTAATAAAGCTCCGATTCCTTGTGGGTTTGGATGACGCAATCGGAGGTGGGGTAAGCAACGCAGGTCAAGACATAACCTTTCTCCATCTGTGATTCATCAAGAAAGGATCCATCGGATTGATCAACAGAACCTGAGACAATTAAACCTGCACATGAGGAGCAGGCTCCGGCTCGGCATGAATATGGAAGGTCCAGGTTCGTGTTTTTCTCCGCCGAGTCGAGGATGTAGGTGTCATCTGGAGCTTCGAACTCTGCCTCCTCGCCCTCCGGACTGATGAGCTTCACTTTGTAGACAGCCATTGCAGTTGTGCGAAAGCTGCTCGAGGACTTCAGACCAAATGGTTTAGAGATGAGCTTGGAAGAAGAGAAGTGTGAGGGAGATCTTATGCCGCCGCGTTTGAAGGTGCAGCAGGGTGGCAGCGCGAGGGTGGACATTGTACGAGACTTCTGGTTTCGTGAATAAGAAAATTAGTTAAGATTTCATAGGCTTAATTAGAAAAGCATGACACAACCAAAAGTTGGTTTTGCAGTAGAGGAGAGTTGATAGGATATTGCTTTGATAGAGAGAGATTTTATATAACCCTAAAATGTTGAATATAATATTCTGACCACCTAAATTAAAAATTTACATTTCAACCGCCCAAAACTTTATTTTCTTTTAAAATAAGAGTGATCGATCCGTTATATTTAAGGTTTAGGGTGCTTTTTGGGTGGTTTAAATGTAAAAATTTTAAGTTTAGGTGATCAATCTTTAAAAAACTACGGAAATGTGTCATCAAACTACTCTTCTGCGTTATTTCCCATCAATGTATGGCTAACATGGCAAACAGCAAGAACATTCAAAAATAAGAATAATATCTAACGAAAAAGAAATTAAAGAAACGTTCACAACCCGAACTCTCACACGTCGATGTATTGTCCGCTTTGATCTAGAGGACTCGTGATTTTGCCCTTTTGGTGTTAACTTCCCAGAAGATCACCCATCATAGGAGTGCTCCAGAACGACCATACTTAACTTTAGAGTTTCTATCGAAATTCGCGTTACACTAAAAGGCAACTTGATGTTTAGCTTCATTCCACTTAAGGGATTTCATAGTCTTCCCTACTTAAATAATTGATATCCACATCGGTTTTCTTACCTATAATTATTCACCATGCAAATATGATTCAAGAGGTAGCCCCTACAGATTCAAATGGTGGCTCCAAACATGTAACACTTTATCCTATCTTGGGCTCAAGAGATGGTTCCCACGACTTAACACTTTATTTTGTATAGCATTCAGTTTCATCTTCCTACTGGTGTAATGCTCTCATATCATTTGTAACAGCCCAAACTCTCACCCATTGGGATATTGTCAGCTTTGACTTAATAGCCTTATAGTTTTGCCCCGTTAGAATTTCCCAGGAAGTCACCCATCTTAGGAGTGCTCGCATGAGAATGAAGCTAAAAGCTTAAACATTAATGCCTTTTAGTTTAACAATTAGAGATTCATCAAAAATTCCAAAGTTAAGCGTGTTCACACGAAAGCACTCCTAGGATAGGTGACCTCCTAAGAAGTTACACCAACGGAGCAAAATAATGAGAACCCTAGGTCAAAGAGAACAATATCTCCATGGGTGAGAGTTTGGGCAATTACAGATGATATCAGAGCATTACGCCGACTGGAAAATGGATATATGTGGTTGATGATTTATGGCTTACGAAAACTAACGAATACATCAGTTACTTAAGTAGGGAAAATTGCAAAACCTCTTAAGTAAAATGAAGCTAAAATCTTAAACATAGAGACACAATTTTGTGCAAAATTCTAAAGCTAAGTGCGCTTGCATGGGAGCACTACCGGGATAAGTGACCTCCTAGGAAGTCACACAAACAGGGCAAAATTGTGAGGTCATTGGTTCAAAACGGACAATATCTCGATAGATGAGATTAGCTTGGGTTGTTTAAAAAGCAACTGTAGAAACAAAATATTCAAACACAAAAAAATAAAATAATTGATATATAAAGAAAAATTAAACCCAATAAATAATAATTATTTATTAAAATATAAACATTAAGATATTGAGAGATATTATAAAAACAACAAAAGAGCACAATTTAATGTGTGTGTGTGTGTGTGTGTGTGTGTGTGTGTGTGTGTGTGTCAAGAAGAGAATATTATATATCAAAATTATCATCAAATCCCATTGAAAGTATAATGTAAAATCTAGAATATCATAAGCTTTGAATTAATGTTCAATATGATCATAATCAAGTTCAATAATTTAATAAAATTTATAATCATCAAAAATCAATTTTAAAAATTCTAATGCAATCATTTTCAATCCAATCAAGTCAAAATTGTATATGACTCGATAGTTATTTTACCATTCAATTGCATTTCATATTAGATATATATATATATATATATATATATATACACAATTTTGTTAAACAAGTTAAAAGAGATAAGCTATAGACCAAATTAAGAAAACTTATTGACTTTCTATAAAATCATACTCTATAGGTCTATCGGCCCGGTTGGTTAATCTCCAAAAAAAAAATTTTACCAACATAAACATGACCGCACACAAGCATACTCAAATAATTTATAAGTAATATAACAACTATTATTGATATTTCAAATATGAGTATTCCAGAAAAGAAATCTATTGCAATTATTCAAAGAAAGTGTAGGGTTTAGGGGTTATTGTTATACTATAACTACCAAATTTAATTCAACAACAATGTAGTTTGAATCCAAGGCAACTCAAAGCTGGTTATATTAAACTTTAGGCGAATGCACCGAGAATATGCTTAAACCTCATACAATATAAACTAATCCAAAAATCTATTTAATCTAATTACCAACAATAAAGAATATAATATTATATATATATTTATGTCCTAATATAATTTTATTTATATATATATATATATATTGTTAGAAGTTATCTTAGGAAATAATTTATTCCTATTAGAAACTATGAGAAATAGATTTATCTCCTAATATAATTTTATTTACTTTCTTATTTTAGATTTATTTTCTTGGAATGGATTTAATTTCTTTCCTATTTTAGGCTTTCTTATTTTATGTCGTTTCTTTTATCTCAAAATAATTAATATGAATTAATTAATTGAAGATATTAGATGTTATGTCTTTCCTTTCCTATTGTATTTTTTATTGTCTTTTTTATTCTAGGATTCATGTAAGGATTATTTATACCTACTTTCATGTCAATAAAAATATTTCGCATTATTCTGAATTTCAACATGGTATCAGAGCCAAATTCCCTACCATAGCCGCCAGTCCTTCCTCCAGAACTGCTGCGCAACCTTCCCGTCATCCTCTGTGCAGAAAAGGACGAGCGCTCATCTTGGTATTTGAAATAACGATTTTTTCTTATTCACCTTTTCTACTCTTATCGGCTCTAAAGGCGACGCCATCGCCTGCCTCGTCACGTGCGACGTCATGATGTCCATCATCTCCACCGTCGCCGCCGACCTGATGCGACATTTCAAAACTGTTTATCTAGCCCTCTCCTCTCTACGTTCGATGTTCATTTCTCATATCACTGGCACCGCCCTCGGCTGCATAGTAGCACTATTTACTTTCTGACTCTATTAGACCGCATTCGACATCGGCTCACCTGATGGGAATGTAAAAAGCTCCTTACGTCATTATATATAGAGAAATGGTGATTCTCAAAATCGAGGGCTTCTTCGCACTTTCGAAGCACTGTCTGGAGATATGCTGCTTGTTCTTCATCACGGCTATTGTAAAAAACTTTGCAAGAGATGTTACGTCGACAAATATATTGGCATATATTCCGATTCTGATGACGATGGCGTTGTTTTTCTATATTGGGGCTTATTTTGCAATAAACAAGATCGTTGGGACAGTGATACTCTGTGTGGGAGAGGTTGAAGAAGGAGGCTGATGACTATGTTGGAGGTGTAGCTTTTGGGTTGATATGTGGCGATGGTATCTCGTCCTCGCCTACTATCTTGTCGCCTCCACACCCGCATTCTACAACTCTGACACAGGCTTCACCGACGGGATCCTCTCCTCCACTTACGACAAGATCAGCCTCTCTCGACAAGATTTCTATCGGTTTGTTTTCCCTCTCACCAGCAGCCTTTTCTCCTGCGACTTTCTCTATCAACATAATTTCTTGGGTTTGATTTACTCTTTCTCTCTCTTGTGGAAATCTCGGTCAGAGAGCTGCCACCGATGTTTGTAGAGCAAAACCTTGTCTCTCTAGTGGCACTCCTAACTGAAGAGAAGTTGCTTTACCAGACATGTCTTAGCAGCAAAAGTGGAAACTAGGGAGGAGCTATTTTTGCCATTTTTCCATCTGCAGGTTTTAACTGCTATTCCTTCCTGCAGGAGTTGAGACTGTAGCCGCCTCTGTGGCGTCTTTCATCATTTCACATGCGTAGATTTTGGAAACGAATGGAAGCTTGTTACAGAGAATTTCATTGTTAGTTTGCTTGCAAAACGATTTGGAAAAGCCCATTACACGGGCGAGATGGGATGTATCTTTAAATGGAATCTCAACAGCAGACCAACATGCCCTTCTTCATTGTTTCTTCTCTACTGCCCAAAAACTTCATGCAGATCCTTCTCAATTTTCCTTTGACACTAAAACTCTCACTGCAGCCGGAAGTATCCTGCTGCATTCCTAACTCGATGCAGAGCCACTTCCTCCAGAGCTTTTTCCCTGCAACAGACCCTCATCCGGAACTTTTTCTTGTATCAGATCCTCCTCCGGAGCTTTTCTTGCAGCAGGTCCTCCATCGACATTCTTCTTGCAACAGGTCCTCCATTGACATTCTTCCTGCAACAGGTCCTCCACCGAAATTCTTCCTGCAACAGACCCTCCTCTGAAGTTTTTTCCTGCATCAGGCTCTCCTCTAGAATCTTTCCTGCAGCAGAGCTCCGTTCAGAGCTTGTCCAGTAATGTTTTTTTTCTATATCAGGCCCTCCTCCAGAGCTTTTTCTGCAGAGGTGTACATCCGGAAGCTTTTCCATTTTTTTGCAGGACATATCCTGCAGTTTTTCTGTTGATTGTCTAATTCCCTGCAAACTCCCCGTCGGCATTATCTGTAGGAGTCTTCTGCCTACCTACAGACACTACAGAAACTGCAGTCAAAGACAACCACAATCAACTAGAAGTCAGCTTTTCCTGCAGGTTGTCCATTTCTCTATATTCTCCCCTGCAACATTACCAGTAGGAGCCTTCCGCTTACAAATACTGCAGGAACTCCAGTCCAGAGGTGTAAACGAGCCAAACACGAGTGAGCTCAGGCTCAGCTCGTGTTCAACTCATTTATATTTCGAGCTAAAAAAATGTGTTCGTGCTCAACTCGTTTGCTTAGCGAGTCAAACACGAGCTGTTCACGAACAAAGAATCGTTTTGGCAACCCTAATCACGTAAACATAAGATGTTAAGGGTTAGGGTAA